GTATTTACAGTGTCTTAATTTTTCAAACTCCACATTAAAGCCCATATTAAGGCCTTGAATTTACTGGATCTGGCTTTTCTATCCAATGTCCTCTTAATTCCCACCAAGAGATTGGGTTGTTGTTGTTGTTGTCAGGTGTCATCGAGTCAGAACCGACTCATAGCGACCCCATGCACAGCAGAACGAAACAATGTCTGATCCTGGGCCAACCTCACTACCGCTGCCACACTTGACGCCATCAATGATGCCACCTGGCTGATCCATCTCGTTGGGGGACTTCCTCTTTTTCTCTGACCCTCCACCTTACCCAGCATGACATCCTTCTCCAGCAACTGTTCTCTCCGGACAATGTGTCCAAAGTAGGAGAGACAAAGCTTAACCATCTTGGCCTCCAAGGAGCACTCTGGGTGGGGCCATGCAAATAAGGTATACAGAACTCTAAGGCTAGGATTGGTTCGTTTTGCCCTGTAGCTCAGTTTAAAAGGAGCCATCTCAGAAGCAGGGACAGATGATCCCAGGTCCACCACAAGGAAGAGGATGAGTGGAGCAGGAGATCCGTACCTAGAAAAGTGGCAACCTCCCAGGAGAGACAGAGTCGCTTCAGGCTCTAGACCCATGGACTAAGTAAAGCTGAGTGCCTACAGACAGGTTTGAAGAATGTGCCCTTTGGGAATTCACAAACTGGCTAAAAGAGCTTTGAATCACTTGCCAGAGCTGATCAGAGGCCACAGGGTCACATGACTGTGAAGCCAACGACAAGAGTGAAGACTATCTGCTGTACAGCAGAAAACAGGTGTTCCTGACAGGAGAACTGCTGCTTCCTGAGTTGGTTTTTGATCCTCAATTGTACCTTAATAAATACCATAATCTTGAGTATTGTTATGAGTTCTCTGTGGCCATTGCAGTGGATTATCCAACCCAGATGTGAAGCAGAGAGTGTTGTGGGAGGAATGGTTGGCATTAGAATAGGGGAAAGAAAATTTTAGGGTGGAAGCATGTCTGACCTCCATTGCATAGGAATTGGCATTGGGCTGATTTTGAGTTTAATTCTCTTCCCCCTTGTGAAGTCAGGGGAAGTCAGACATGGCTCCCACATGGTCTTTGCATCACATCAGTCATTTATTCAACTAGTATGTAGTCAGTTATGAAGTCATACTGTGTTCTCTCAAGAAACTGAAGGAGAAAATTTATAAAGATTTGTAAGTTCCATGTTAAAAGTCTATCTAACAACAATTTTTTAATCTAATGTCAGTGTACTTATATAAACATCCTAACATAGAAAACACTATTATTGTTGTTGTTAAGTGCCATCGAGTCAATTCTGACTCATATAGGGTTTCCAAGGAGCAGCTGGTGGTTTTAACCACCAAACTTGTGATTAGAACTCCAGAGATGATCCTACAGTGCCACATTAGGAGTCCAGATAGCACTATTAGTTAATATTTATTGGTGGTGGTTATGTGCATGGAGTCGGTTCCTACTCATAGCGACCCTGTATAGGGTTTCTGTAAATCTTTACCACAGCAGAAAGCCTCATCTTTCTCCTGCAGAACAGGTGGTAGTTTCAAACTGCTGACTTTGAGGTTAGCAGCCCGACTTGTAACAGCCAATAGATGTAATTTTCTATATTTTACAGATAAGGAAACTGAGGCAAGGAGAGGGCAATTAATGTTTCAAAGTCATGTAACTTAGAAGATCCAAGATGAGACCTCAAGCCTAAAACATCTGGCTTCAGCTATATTGTTAACCACTGTGTTACCCTGACTCCCTATATCTTTTGTTTAAAATTAGTGATTGAATTGTTTTCATTGAAAATAGTGATCATATTTTTAATTGTATATTTGAAGTATTCACTGAATATTTAATCTGAAATTCCCACAAATCTGTGCTATGTGCTAGATGAGTTTGTAAAATAAAAAAAACAAGAAGCCAGGTCTGATGAACGGTGTGGAGTAATGAAAGCATGAGACGAGCAATAAGTCTTAGAGAATTACAGCAGAAAATCGCCAAGCTTTTTCTTGCATCCTAGGAAAAACTGTTTTATTCACAGAAACAATTTCTAGGTGGTGAAACCTACTAATAAACTTCACTGCTTATCAAAAGGTTGGAAGTTCAAGTCCACCCAGTAATGCCTCAGAAGACAGGCCTGACAATCTACTTCATGCCATTGAAAACCCTGTTGAACACAATTTTTCTCTGAACCTAATGGGATTGCCATGAGTCAAAATTGATTCCAAGGCAACTGATAGCAGTGGTAGATTCACAGAGGCAGTAGCCTACAGCAAGTACACCAGAGAGCTGTTCATGCCTCTCTTCCCCCTTCATTGAAAGGAGCAAGGAAACGGGAAGAGAAGGACTGTGCCCAGCTTCACAGGAGCACACCAACGTGGGGAGAGGAACAGAAGTGCTTGCTTCTCTATTTTCTCAGGCTGATTTCTCTAGAAAAGCAAAACCATCAAAACTTATATATGTATATATGTGCATAAATATATATATAGTTGTTGTTAAGTGCCCTTGAGTCAGTTCCAATCCATAGCGACCCTGTATAGGGTTTCCAAGGAGTGACTGGTGAGCTTGAACCACCAACATTGCAGTTCAAACTGACTTTACAGTCCAGTGCATTAACCCCCATCACCACACCAGGACTTATATATATGTTGTTGTTGTTGTTATTAAGTGCCATCGAGTCAGTTCTAAACCATAACAACCCTGTATAGGGTTTTCTAGGAGCAGCTGGTGAGCTTGAACCAGTGACCTTGCAGTTCAAACCGACTTTGCAGATCAGTACATTAACCCACAGTGCCACAAATGGGTCACATTTGTAAAGTTGGGAGTGTCCCAAGTCTGGATCAGATGAATCAAAATCAGCAGGCAGGTAGGTAATAAAGCAGGCCACTGGCTCAAGTCTAAAGAACGGGAGGTTGGAAGAAGAACCAGACACGAGATCCAGATCAGCAGAAAGCAAGCAAGATTTGTCTGAGTGTCCATTATATTGGAAGCAGCTCACACCCCCGAATTAACATCCTTTCAATTGATTGGCTGCTCAAAACCAATCATCCTAGACTTAACTATACTGTATTAGATCTCACCATGAGGTCACCACATCTCAACTACCAAATCATTGGGAATCCTGGCCCAATCAAGTTGACATAAAACCTTAACTATCACAATAGGAGGCAGAACCATAGGAAGTCTTCTTGATTCAGGGCCTGACTCCTGGCTGCTGCCTCTACTTCTCTGAAACTTTCTGCTCCACACACACCTATCACCATCTCCTTTGCCTGGAGAAACTCCTATTCATTCTTTAGGTCACCAATTTAAGTGTCATTGCCTTCATTCAATAAGCCACCCCTGATCCTCTCCCACTCCTATACAATGTTGTTGTTGTTGTTAGGTGCCATTGAGTCGGTACTGATCCATAGAGACCCTATGCACAACAGAACTAAACACTACCCAATCCTGGGCCAAC